ACTGATGAATTGTTCAGGAGATGCATAGTAGAAGATGAAATTAAAGGTGTCCTTCACCATTGTCATGATTCAGCCTATGGTGGTCACTTTACCACTTTCAAGACAACACAAAAGATGCTCTAAGCTAGTTTTTAGTGGCCCAGTTTGTGAAAACTATAAATGATCGGAACAGTTTTGAAAAATCTAAAACTCAAGAATTGATGGGGGTATAAGTGACCATGGAAGATAGGATCCAAGCTCTTCTCTCCACAATTCTTGTTGTGACTTTGTGTGCCACTACCTTTGCAAAGCCGGGGCTAGCTTAGCTTCCTACCATTCCTGGTTCTTCTATAGATCTCACAAAATGTTGGTCATCGCTCTTCAACGTTCAAGGTTGTGTAATGGAAATTTTCAAAATTGTTTTCACGGGTAAGTTTAAAAATATCAAAGCTAAGTGCTGCAAAGTGTTTATGGAAGTTGATGAAAAAAGTTGGCCACAAATGTTTCCTTTGAATCCATTATTCTCTCATATTCTCAAAGATGGTTGCTCTGTATGGTTTGGTTGTCTTTAATTCTTGGTTTTATCACTTATGGTTATATATGAATTTTATGTTTAGCTACAAATCACAAAGCAGTATTCTATAAACTTAAAACAAGACCGAGACTATCGATTTTTCTTCACTTCTAACAAATGGTCCAGTTAGGATTAAACCAAAACAGGAACCTGTCAGACCACCCCAGTTAGGATTAAACCAAAACAGGAACCTGTCAGACCACCGTGCGATCACCCCGGTTAGGATTAAACCAAACCGAGTAACGATCCTGATCAGGGAGATGATCAGGAGATGATCGTGGCCGTTAATCACGCTCCGATCACACGGTCATGATTCATCAACCAGGGTTAAAAGCCTGTTTCTTTAGAAACAAGGATACAGAAGTACGAGCCTATAGAACAGATCCTGTTCAAGTAAGTATTCTATAAACTTAAAACAAGACCGAGACTATCGAGTTCTCTTTACTTCTAACAAATGGTCCAGTTAGGATTAAACCAAAACAGAAACCTGTCAGACCACCCCAGTTAGGATTAAACCAAAACAGGAACCTGTCAGACCACCGTGCGACCACCCCGGTTAGGATTAAACCAAACCGAGTAACGATCCTGATCAGGGAGATGATCAGGAGATGATCGTGGCCGTTAATCACGCTCCGATCACACGGTCATGATTCATCAACCAGGGTTAAAAGTCTGTCTCTTTAGAAACCAAGGATACAGAAGTACGAGCCTATAGAACAGATCATGTTCAAGTAAGGTTGTCTTTAATTCTTGGTTTTATCACTTATGGTTATATATGAATTTTATGTTTAGTTACAAATCACAAAACAGTATTCTATAAACTTAAAACAAGACCGAGACTATCGAGTTCTCTTCACTTCTAACAAATGGTCCAGTTAGGATTAAACCAAAACAGGAACCTGTTAGACCACCGTGCGACCACCCCGATTAGGATTAAACCAAACTGAGTAACGATCCTGATCAGGAAGATGATCGTGGCCGTTAATCACGCTCCGATCACACGGTCATGATTCATCAACCAGGGTTAAAGACCTGTCTCTTTAGAAACCAAAGATACAGAAGTACGAACCTATAGAACAGATTCTATAAACTTAAAACAAGACCGAGACTATCGAGTTCTCTTCACTTCTAACAAATGGTCCAGTTAGGATTAAACCAAAACAAAAACCTGTTAGACCACCGTGCGACCACCCCAGTTAGAATTAAACCAAACCGAATAATGATCCTGATCAGGAAGATGATCGTGGCCGTTAATCATGCTCCGATCACACGATCATGATTCATCAACCAGGGTTAAAAACCTGTCTCTTTAGTAACCAATGATACATAAGTACGAACCTATAGAACAGATTCTATAAACTTAAAACAAGACCGAGACTATCGAATTCTCTTCACTTCTAACAAATGGTCCAGTTAGAATTAAACCAAAACAGGAACTTATTAGACCACCGTGTGACCACCCCGGTTAGAATTAAACCTCCGATCACACGGTCATGATTCATCAACCAGGGTTAAAAACCTGTCTCTTTAAAAACCAAAGATACAGAAGTACGAATCTATAGAACAGAACCTGTTTAAGTAAGATCGTGACTACCATTGCTATCTCTCCACTATATATACAACCAGATTATTTTCCAGCTGAGCGATGTGGGATATTGCGCAGTGTAAAGAAAACTTAAAATATACTGTATTGTATCTGTATTGAAGGCCCGATTATATTTAAAGCCCACGATATTTGCTTTGCACGTTGTACTACCAAAGAGTGAAGAAGACGGTTTCTTTAAACCGGACTGTCCATCTATTAAGTAAACCGAATTTCTTGCTCTTACCATAAAGAACTGAAGGTTTTTTTCTAATCAATTTTTTTTTCCATTGTCAAGCCATATTTGTAGAAAAAGACTTAAAATTTTCATGAATTTTAAAACAAATTTTTGATAAACTTTGGTTTTAAAATTCATGAAAATTTTAAGTCTTTTTCTACAAATATGGCTTGACAATGGAAAAAAAAATTGATTAGAAAAAAACCTTCAGTTCTTTATGGTAAGAGCAAGAAATTCGGTTTACTTAATAGATGGACAGTCCGGTTTAAAGAAACCGTCTTCTTCACTCTTTGGTAGTACAACGTGCAAAGCAAATATCGTGGGCTTTAAATATAATCGGGCCTTCAATACAGATACAATACAGTATATTTTAAGTTTTCTTTACACTGTGCAATATCCCACATCGCTCAGCTGGAAAATAATCTGGTTGTATATATAGTGGAGAGATAGCAATGGTAGTCACGACCTTACTTGAACAGTGTTCTATAGGTTCGTACTTCTGTATTTTTGGTTTTTAAAGAGACAGGTTTTTAATCCTGGTTGATGAATCATGACCGTGTGATCGGAGGTTTAAATTTTTTTTTTTTTGATAAACTTTGGTTTAAAACAAATTTTTGATAAACTTTGGTTTCCCTTGTAGGAAAAAAAAGACACATAGATTTTATTAGCTACATACTAGGTATTTACCCGTGCTATGCTGCGGAATATTATTCTAAATTTTATATATTTTAAAAATAAAAAATTATTTCTTACAGTATAAATAAATATTATATTTAGTTTTTATTTAGCATAAGTTTTGGATTTAGGTCCTATTTATTCCTCCATCTATAGTTCATTTGAATAAAATGAGAATTTTGTTTGTTTTGTGGCAAAATCAAAAAATATTTAGATGAATTATTTAGATGATTTTTTAAGATTTAGATAAATTTATGAGAATTATCTGAATGAACCAAATTTGACCATCTTGATAGAGATGTTTCAGTTCAAAATGACAAATGACTAAAATACTCTTAAATTTAAAAATAATAAAAAATCTAAAATCATATTTTTCGAAAAAACCATAAATTATGCTTTTCTAACGAAATCTGAAAAATTGTATTTTTTTTTTCTAAACTGGTAAAATCATATTTTCTGGTAAAATCGAGAAATCGTATTTTTCAACCAAAACTAAAAAAACACATTTTACTATTATAAGTTTACTTATGATCATAAATTTCTCTACTTGCAGGTTATATTCATATTTTTAATTATGGAACTTTTAATGCATGTTTTTCTTACACTAACTAAAATAATTATTTTAACATTAATATTTCTTTAGCATTAAAAAAATATTTAGTAAAAAACCACAAATAAAACAACAATTCACATTAGCTTACATATTTACTATAGCTTAAGTTTATATATTGATCAGATCGCTACCTTAGCTCTAGAAATTAAAAAAGCTACAAAATATATCGAAAGAAACCAAATAACGATGTCAAATGTTTGAAGCTCGTATTTAATTGACCTCAGATCTTATAACTTTATTTTTCTTCAGTTTTTCTTCTCTCACATATGCTAGAAACAAGTCTAGCAACTACGAAAATGGCTTCACAATGTCGCCATTCCTCCCATTCTCCAAATCATATCAGCGTTTCTTTCATCTATTGAATCATAGTCACTGGTCGAGATTTAGGCGGTTGACAACTTTTTCGATCAGATCTCTGATACCTTTGAACATAATATATTTGCTTTCAAAAACTTAATACATTTTCAAATATTCATTCATAAGTATACAATAACTTGATTAAAAAATACTCATTCTTTTGATAATTAATTAAAATTTGGTGCACTCTCTCTTTGTCAAAGTATAAAGAATTATTTAATTTCAATATATAAAAAACATAATTTTCTGGATTTTTTACTTTTTCTCATATCTTTGCTTTAAACATATAAACATTAACATTATCATACCTAAACATTAGTCACATTTATATGTATATATCAAACCTTCAAACTTCACACTATATTTAGATATAGTTTTATTAATAAGTCATAGGACAGATATGATACAGGAGTAACACCCAAATACAAAGGTCTAAAACATTAAAGTATTAAACGCAAGCCTAAATACAACTTAAACTATATTTGGTGTTACTGTAATTGGATATCTCATCCGTCTTTAGCATAAGGGACAAAGCTTTACCACTTTAAAGTTTCAACTTTCAGAAAATTCATCATCACAATGCGATTGTAGATCTTTTTCAAACTCTTTCGAAAACCACCATATCTCCTGAATAGATACATGGTTAAAAAATCCTTCTTCCCCACAAAGTTGCTACAAAGTTAAAATCTTAGAAGTGAAATCGTAAGTTTGATGAGATAACAATATTAATTGATTCATTAGAATTTTAGGTTTGTTTGCCAATAAACGTTATCAATTAGTTAGGTTAATTAGATAATTTCTAGAATAATTGAAGAAGACGGACGAAGAAGATGATGATAGGGAAAATGAAAAAGAAGATGTCGATAATATACAATGAGCTTCAATTTTTTCTTTTTAAAAAAAAATTATAAATTTAAAAATTATAAAACAACACATAGTACATTATTAAAAATAGTGTGTTTTAATTTTTGTCATCGATATAATGAGGGTTAATTTTGCAGTTATCCCAAAATAATAATATTGGGCTTTAATTTGTATGTATTGTCCATATTGGATCTTATTAATGAAAAATTTTGATGATAAAAAAAAAAAATTTGCCTATGTGTTTAAATATTGAGATGAAGTGTATTAATGAAATGTTTTAATTGGTTCAGTATTTTGCTGATGTGTCAGCTTCTAATAACATAAAAAAACTGAGTTGTCAATACATGGAGAGACTTATGGTTTATTGTTGTATTGATTATAATTGTTTGAAAGACATTCTGCTTTCAATACATTTTTCTGTATAATTTTAAAAACATATTATACTAAATAACAATAAACATAGCTAAGATGGAAGGTTGGATCCAATTAGTGCTTCTCATGCACTAATTTGATTTGCGAATAAAAGACAGAAGTTTTCAAGCTTGTTTATAATTTATGTGTGTGTAACAAGTCCATCTTCACAATTACTATGCACAGAGCAAGAAATTTTTTAAAAGATAACCTGTTAGAATTCCCTAACATTGTTATTTTTGATTGATCCAAACTCTTCTTTCTCTTTTTGATTTCAAGTAATAAAAACTAAGAAAAACTAGAATGATTCGTCTGCTATCAGTGGCTCTCCAGCCACTTGATATAACTAGCTTTCTTATCGGATGGCTCACACAGTCACACATATTAACTTTAACTACGTAATCCATATAGATTAGTATAATCAAAATTTACTAATCTGTTGCAACCAGAAACGTTGCATTTACGTATTGTAGGCATTTTCTCGCTTGTGGGTGAAAAATATATCATATATGTGCCATATTTTTCAGTAATCAAAAAGATTCTTCTTTGTATTTGTTTCATTTGTTCTACAACAGTTAACGTTGACATTCAATGGAAAAAGCCTACAACTTTAAGTTACTTTACTGGAAAATGTTTTTAGTTCAAAGCTTGTCTTAACGTATGATTCTCGAAATACATTTAAAGTTTCCATTCTCATCTTCCATATAAATTGTTTTGTTACCTAAAACCATCCCAAATAAGCAATCATAGAAAATAAAAGAAACGAAGAAATTATTGACCATATATGGATAGTAGGATCCAAGCTCTTCTGATCTTCTCTCCACAATTTTGGAAATCAACAAAATTGTTTTCACGGGTAAATTTGAAAGTGTTGGAACTAAGTGCTCCAAAGTCTTTATGGAAGTGGATGAAAAGTGTTGGCCACAAATGTTTCCGTTGAATCCATTATTTCCTCCTATTCTCAAAGATGATTTGCTCTCGCATCAACATAGCTCCTCCCACACGCAAGTAGTGAAGTGGCTATATGTGGTTTTTATATATCACAATGCATTAATATTTACAAGGAAGATATTCACATGTATTTGATTGTTTTAAATTAATTCGCTACTGATAAAACAATGACAGAGCGGTTTTCATAAACTTAAAAAACATAAAAACTATGGAAAAGAATTAAAATGATCTCTCTTTCGTTCATATTTCTGTGAGTAAAGAAGCTTAGGGAAGTTTACAAAGATACGAAGGAAAAAAACGAAGACTGATGCTCTGCGATTTAAAGCCTATCCTTTAACTTATTGCTCCAAATTGGACGAAGGCCCACTTATATTTAAAGCCATCCTTCAACTTGTTGCTCCATGTTGTAGCAAAGTTGTGAGAAGAAGACAATTTCTTTAAACTGAACGGTTCATCTGAATCTAATTTAAACAGAACTGTATTGTAATGATTCTCTTATTTAGTCACACTATCCCGGCCTATATTTCATCAAACTATTTTATTGTAAGAATTCTCTTGTTTCGTCAAAATTGTTTGACTAATCAAAATTGTATGCTAAACCAGTAAAGTTATCAAAATAATATATACATTTTTGTTCAAAATACTTATTAAAAGTGGTATATACATTTTTTCATACTTCTTTTTGTTTAGTTTTTTCTTAAAAACATTTTCGCTTAACACTCTTTCTTGTATTCCATATCCGTTTATAGTTTTCTCTTATCATCAATAAAAATTCTGTTCTACTTAAAATCACTTATCGAAACCAATATATCAAAGTACAAAATCAGATTAACAAAAGAAAATAAAAACACTGTTAGAAAAATGCAAAGAAAATTGGGCAAATGTGTAATTTATTTATCTTCTCCTTTTTGGTCTGAAGAAGAGTCAGAAGGTGGAACTTGGAAGTGGTCTTTGTATGTACTTTTGTAAGTTTCGGTTCCCACCAGATATATATATATGCACGCTCTCCTCTTAACCACCGCAAAGACGCACGTGACAGTGACTCTCCCCATTTTTGCATATCTCATCCTCTAACTTCCATTTTCACTTAGTACCAAATTTTGTATATATATATGTACACACATAACACACCAACGCAATTTGTAACGACATATTGGAAATGTTCATGTTTAATCTAAAGGATTAGGAAATGGTAGGTTATTTAGAATCAAATACAAAGCTTGAGAGATAAGAGGTTGAGAGCTAAAGATTTTAATAAAACCAAAAGGAGTACTGTTTGTTCTTTGTTAAGAAACTAACAGATTTGTTGCTTTTATATTTAAAATTGTTGCAAAAAGCTAAAAGAACTCACATCATGCACATACACCAAAGAAAGCTGCGTTGTTGCCTTGTTGGTAATAAACACAAAGCATCCCGTAAGAACATGTCTCTACTTGCTGTTTACGTATTAAATTTTACACGTCAACCCAATTTTGTTCCAACTTCCAATACTGAATCTTTTAATTAGTTCACTCTTTTCTCACTTTTACAAAAGTATATTGGTAATCAGAACCATACAAATAGCTGGTGCATTTCGACAATATTGAAAATTCTGTAATTATTCTTTAAATATTATTATAACGTAATTATACAATTTTCACAAAAGTTTTAAATCAATTGATTTGCATAGTACAAAAGTGATTACATTTTATAATTTACCGTTGATTATGGGTGTACTACTAATTAAGCTACCTCTCTAAGTCTCTAGTCAATTATTACTTCTTTCTTGCTTTTCTCTCTTTGTTATATTCAAACAAAAACAAATTAAAGTCCGTAACCTTGAAAAAGCATGGTTATTAAATTTTAAAAGCTATTATTGAAATGGAAAGTGACATTCACGATTATTGCGGCTTTATAAAACAATCATAAGTGTTCGACGATTAGATACAATGGATTAGTTCACAATGGGTTATTTCACTATTGATTTTATTATAGTTAGGTCTAACAATTTTTTGTTTACGATTGAGGATACGTCTCTGACCGTCTGAGGATTAAGACTTGCTTTTCTTACTAGTATATTAATAAGTGGATTATACTATTTCATAAAACACATAATAAGATACGATGTAGGACCCATCATAGATACGGTCGTGGGAGGAGTTAGATCGAGGCGGGCCGGTCAATGCGGAGCCTTGAATGTTCACATCTGTTGTTTTCAGTTTCTGCTCACACGACACGCTCTACGCGCCAACTAGTGTTTGCCTGTCTGATTTGTAGGAAAAAAAAACTTATTTATACATTTCTTTTTCAATGTTTCTGTCTCCATAATGAGCAATTCATACATTCCAAGTTCTCAATATGCTTCCATAAACAAGAATATATAGAGCAAACTATTCGATATTGCATTAGATAGATATGATAGAATATTAGAAACAGCGTAGGAAGATAAATCATAGTGTTAAATGTGTAATTTGGAGTATATACGAATTGCATATGTTGTTTCTGTCAATAATACAAAATTTAAAATAATCAGCCCCGTCTTAATTTATTTTTATTAATTTAGTTATTAAAATTTTATTATATACTTTTTAATATAATATAAAATATCCATATTTTGTATTTAGCCCAAAACTCTTAAAATTATTAAGACGGGACTGACTCAACCCAAATTTACGCTTCAAACTTGGGTTGAGTCAGCCCCGTCTTAATAATTTTAAGAGTTTTGGGCTAAATACAAAATATAGACATTTTATATTATATTAAAAGTATATAATAAAATTTTAATAACTAAATTAATAAAAATAAATTAAAATATGAATCTTTGATATTTTAAAATATAAAAAGTGCTAATTTATTAAAAAAAAATACATAACTAATTTATTATAAATTTTTTGACATAGTTTTTCACTTTATTAAGTGCATCATTCCTGTAAATTGTATCAAAAGATTCACCATACCTGAAAAATATAAAAAAGGAACAATTCTTTCTAAGAAAATAAAAGATCATATTAAATATTTCTTTTTAGCTTTTGTTGATGCAAATCATTGATAATTGTTAATTAATACAAATAAAATTTTAAATAACTGGGATGGTTGTTGTTCTGTGAATCTCTAGAAAAAGATAATTACAACACTGTTTTTTTTAAGTGTTTATGATATGAGCATAATCTTAATTGTGTAATTAGATGATAGGTCCTTTATTTTTAATTAAATAGACTGGACTTTATGAACTGAAAATTAGTTACATATTTTTAAATAAGTTAAACAACAGATGTATATTAAAGTTTATAATATATATATATATATATATATAAAAATTAGGCCTTAAAATTTTAGATTCATAACCACCGCCCCTCCCGCCATGGCTCAAAACCGGGGCTGAGTTAAGTAAATTAGTATTTTATTGAATGGATGTGTGCGTGAGATGGCGCGTGGTTTGTGAGAGAGGACGTGAAAGAGTGTCGCAGGCGGAGAAAGCACAGTCCCGCGATTCGTGCGGTTCGCTTTCCTCACGATAAGTGACGCACCGACTCACTGGTTACGGCACGTGCGCACGTGACCCCCTTCCCTTTTGCTCTCTCATCCTCCTTTTTTCTGACTAGATTAGTAGTACATCATACAAATATTAATTATCTTCTTTATCTATATAGACAGATCTCAGTGATTAGGTGGTCCTTTTATAATTTGATAGCTTTATCTCTATATTGTCGTCTATACGTTATTCTTCTCCCTTGATTTAAATAAGAGTTATACTGCGTAAACTTTATTTATCATGAATTGAAATACTTATTATTCCTTGTCTACGTAGTCGAATGGTCATTACTGAACAGACCTTTTACTTTGGTTCAAATTAATATGCACATACTTCAATCTTCATAATACTATTCACTTAACAACATTATTGTACTCTCTTTAAATTGTGTAGTAATCATATAAGGTTTTAATTGTCAAATGAATTTATGATTTCAAACATTTTATCAAAGTTCTTTTGTTAGTTGTAATTTGTAAACGTAAACTCTAATTGCAATATCAAGGGAACCTTTTTTATCTGCATTTGTACTTCGCAAAATTTTGATTTTATTGTTCTCATGCAAACGCAAGAATTGCTTTTGAAATCATTGATGAATCCTAAATTTATCTCATCAATTAATACATCTATAAAAACAAAATGATTACGTTAACAAACATGCATTAAAGTTATGATCATAACAAGATTACTAGTTTGGTTACACATTATTAAAGAATAACTGTAACGATCCGGTTTTACAAACGAGACCTATTTGGAAAATTCAGTTATGAACTACGATGGTTTAAGCCTAATTCTTATTTTTTGATATTTTTTTATTCTTTTGAGAGATAATTAATTCTTAGTTTAGATAAATATTATATTTTTAATGAATTGTGAATATTCTTAATCATAATTATTCTTTTTTTCGTAGTTATCTTTACTTTTTACTCAAGTCTCTCATTGGATATAAATAAAGAGTCATTCTCTTTTTTTTTTCTTCATTCTAAACTTTCCAGAGAACTGAGAAACCCTAGAACTCTCCTTTCTTTTTTCTGGCGCCGAAGTACTCTCTCTCCGTCATTTCTCTCTCTTCCTTTCTCTCTCTTCTCTGCATCCTCTCTCTCTTCGCCGCATCCTCTCTCTCTTCACCATGTCTCGCCGTTCATCCTCGCCGCATCTTTTCTCTCCTCACCATGTCTCGCAGTTCATCTTCGCCGCCCTCTGATGATCACTCCAGCCGCTTTCCAGAGCAGCCATCATCGTCCGCCGCCGCCGTGGAGGAGCCGCGAGTCCACCACCTTCGGGATGGACCCGTTGCCACTCCCTCCAGCCGCCCCATTCCGATGTTTCACATCGATGACGGGCAGGAGTCTCCCCGGAGTCACACGCCGCCACAACAGCAGCCCGGAAGGTGGATTAACCCGGTGTGGTTAGCCACCGTGGAGCACCTCGCCTCCTTCTCTTCTCCTTACCTTCCCTCGCCACCTCCTTCGCCACCTAGGCCAAGGTGAGGATGAATCTGTGCTTGAATATTGTGAACCATGCTTCTCTGAATGTCTAGTTTGGGGTTAAACCAAGCATAACCTACTTTCTGCTTTAGAACTGAGTCCCAGTTATGTCTTATTAGGTTGTTAATTGCTCTGTGAATCGCCTAGATGTGTTTAGGGTTTTGAAACTGAAGTTGCAAGAGACTTAAAACGAATCTTTACTTGTGTTTGAAACGTCTTGCTTGTTTGATTGTTGTTTGGATCTCTTCTGTGATTGTGTGATCGCATAGAACTTGTAAAAAGGATATCGTGTTTGGCTTTTAGCGCATACGGTTATCTTGACGTTGCCGGTTCGGTTTATATTATCGGAATCGGGTGTCACAAGTTTGGTATCAGAGCCAAAGTTAAGACTCTTCGGTTTTATCCTGAAGGGTCAGTCCTAAATGTTTGTGTTGTGAATCCTATGTGCGCACTTAGCTTGCTTTATAACTGTTTCATGACTCACACCTATGCATACTTGACATCTGACTTTTAGCTTTTTCTTTCCTGTGCCAAACAAGGCTCATACCCGCGAGACAGCCCGGAAACGGACCACTCCGATCCACATGGTTCCTGCTAAACTTGCTTGTCCGGCTTGGAAGATGCCAACCCGGGAGGAGGTGAACGCTTGTGCTGCGCTAACGACAGACATGCTCAGAGCTGTACAAGCTCGAGGCTCGTGTCGATCATCTTTTGGTAGAGTGATGGCCCAACATACCCAGCCAACACGTAAGCACGGACGCCCCCGCAAGAACCCCGCACCAAATGCTAGGCCGGATGTTCAGCCGTCCTTCCCTCGGTTAAACCAGGAGCACGTTCCATAGGGCAGTACCGCATGGCTTACCTCCATGAGATGAAGGTGAATGGTCAGGTCACTTGTTGTGATCTTAACCTAGCCATAGCTTTCCGAGAAGAGTTGAGACCGGAAATCCTAGGGAGTATACGACACCCCCAAGGAGGGCGGACTCATCGAGTCGACCGGCCAAGTCATTCACATGGCTCAGCTGATCGAGCAGGAAATCAAAGAGGAGTGGAGGCAGGAAGATGCGGGTGACTCTGAGTCAGACCCATCTGAATGCGAGGTCCCCGGCGACAATGACTACGACCTGAGACGTGGCTAGGAGAAGCTGCTTGAAGACTATCTAGATTAGGGCTGCGCTTTTGGGATATTGGAGGGGAAATTCATTTTCATTTTAGAAATTAAGTTTTAGTTTTATTTATTTTTATGCATTAGATTTAAGAGCCCTATTCTATGTTGATTGATTGCTTGATTTATTTTAATAAAAAGTTTGCTTGCTTAGAAATGATTGTTTCCCGAGTCTTCCGTTATATGAACATTTTCGATTTAGCCTTCTTCGGTATGATCTCCAAGTCTACCTCGTCGCCTTAAGCCGGCCGTGGAGACTATGTCTTAGAATTTGGGACGAATTCTCGTTAAGGGAGGGAGAATTGTAACGACCCGGTTTTATAAACCAGACCCGTTTGGAAAATTCAATCCTGAACTAAGACGGTTTAAGCCCAATTTCTATTTCTTGATATTTCTTTTTTCTTTCAAGAGATAATTAATTCCTGGTTTAGATAATATTACATTTCTAATGTGATATTAATGACCTTTTCCTATAAGAATTGTGAATATCTTATTCATAATTATCCTTTCCTTTTTCGTGGTTATCTTTACTTTTTATCCAAGTCTCTCATTGGTATAAATAGAGAGCTCTTCCCATTTTTTTCTTCATTCTAAACTTTCCAGAGAACTGAAAAACCCTAGAACTCTCTTCTCTCTTTTTCGGTGCTGAAGTACTTTCTCTCCGCCGTTTCTCTCTCTTCCTTTCTCTCTCTTTGCCGCATCCTCTCTCTCCTCACCATGTCTCGCCGTTCATCTTCGCCGCCCTCTAATGATTGCTCCAGCCGCTTCCCAGAGCAGCCATCATCGTCCGCCACCGCCGTGAAGGAGCCGCGAGTCCACCACCTTTGGGATGGACCCGTTGCCGCTCCTTCCAGCCGCCCCATTCCGGTGTTTCACATCGATGTCGGGCAGGAGTCTTCCCGAAGTCATGCACCGTCGCAGCAGCAGCCCGGAAGGCGGATTAACCCGGCGTGGTTAGCCGCTGTAGAGCACCTCGCCTCCTTCTCTTCTCCTTACCTCCCCTCGCCACCTCCTTCGCCACCTAGGCCAAGGTGAGGATGAATCTGTGCTTGAATATTGTGAACCCTGCTTCTCTGAATGTCTAGTTTGGAGTTAAACCAAGCATAACCTACTTTCTGCGTTAAAACTAAGTCCTAATTATGTCTTATTAGGTTGTTAATTGCTCTGTGAATCGCTTAGATGTGTTTAGGGTTTTGAAACTGAAGTTGCAGAAAACTTAAAACGAATCTTTACTTGTGTTTGAAATGCCGTTTGTTTGATGGATCTCTTCTGTGATTGTGTGATTGCCTAAAACTTATAGAAAGAATAACGCGTTTGACTTCTAGTAAAGATGATTATTTTGACATTGCTGATTCGGTTTATATTATCGGAATCAGGTGTCACAAGTTTATTTATGTTATTAAATTTCAGAGATATGAACTTTTCAAAAGTAGAAATCTATACGAAGCTAATGTAATTTGTGAAAAGTAATAGTGTTGCGTTAATGATGGTTGTTGTTATAAACAGATCAAATGATTAGACCTATAACGACTTGAAAATGTTGAAAAAACAAGGTACAAAAGATTCGACGAAGAACTGGAGCACGAGTATCGAAGACACGGAACACAGACACAGTAACCTCGTAACTTCTTCCTTAATCACCTAATTTGAAAACAACTTACATGAATTCGAAATTAGTTGTGATAATAGTATGTACTAATATAAAAAATACAAAAATACAATTATTTACAAAAAAAGATATAAAAAATACAATCTGACATATTTAAATGTGCCAAATTTATGTTCCGTAAAGATGGAGCAAAAAAAAAAAAAAAAACTGGTCCATGAGTTTATAAATGCTTAATTAAGATTATAAAATCGTATAGGCTCCTTGTAAATGTGAACAAGTATTTTATGTTACTTCCTCATTTCATAAGGATTTTTGACGATGTGCAAAGTTGTTTATAAGCTTTAAAATGCGGATAAGGGTAATTTTGTTCACATTTACAAGGATAAAATGCAAAGTTGTTTATAAGCTTTAAAATACTTAGCGAAAAAGAGGAGGTGAGGGTAATTTTGCGTCGGATTTTAAAACAATATGTGTGGCTCAACTTGCTAATTGACTAGTCTAGATGTAACTAGATTTAGATTCTGCAATATTTTGTTTTTTAAAATTTTAACTTCTGCAATGAAGCCATTGTGATGAGATTAGAGATGAAATGGTCCAGCTTCATTTTCAGTACGATAAAAACAGAAAAATAGTCCTGGGTCGTAATTTATGTGGAGGAAGAAGGGTGAGATGATAATTTAAAAAGAGAAATGGTAGTGAGTGATGAGAGGGGAAAACAAAAACAGAACCACTTTTGTCATCCCTCAACACCTACATTTGTCTTGCTAGCCAGAAAGAAGATAATACTTGTCCCCACCGTCTCAAATTTTTCTATTTTTTTTTTTCATTGACAAATATGCAATTTTGACAATTTTCACTCATGTCACAAATAAAAACATAAGAAATTTTTTAAAATTTTCCGAACCAAGTCCAAACTAATCTTAGAATTTGTCAAAATGGTGAGGAGTTTTGACGTCCTTGATTGATTAACAAATAAATAACAACGTTTCTCATGACCAACTATTATTGAATTGCAGAAAGAAAAAAATATGAATCATGGTTTTTACGTCTAAACCATTGGACCACCATAAAATTTTCAAAATAAAAAATAGTTATACTTGCACACATTTTTTAGAGAAAGTTTACTTGTCATAAAATAAAGATATTTTAAATTAAAAAACGTGTTATATATTAAAATTTAAAACAAGTGCTTTCATAAATATAGTTGGACCAAATATTTATTGTATGCAAATAGATAAGTGGAGATGACATTATGATTTATGACAATAGTGATAACCTTAAAAGAAAGTAATATTTACGGATATTCCAATAGATAATTGATTTTCTTATTATATATTCCCCTAAACGGCTAAACCCTAACTTGTCGCCGGGATTTCGATTAACAACATAATCTCTGTTCACTAAAAGACTCGCAGCAAAAAGAAACAGTAGTGAGAGAAAGTAAGAGAGAGATGAGACTCTGTGGTTGACAAACTCTTTTGCTCTCACAGAGAAAGATAACATATTTTCTTTTCTTTTCTTTTCAGTGGGTAGTTTTAAAATATTTGGAAAAAAAAGACTGTCTGAAGAAAGCTAAAGAGTTTAAAGACTTAAAGATTTGTTATGTTTCTTGGCAAAAGAAACTGTGTCTTTGGAGATTTCTGAAGGGTTATGAAGTGAGAGAGAGAGAAAGTGAGAGATAGAAAGAGAGAGAGAGAGAGAGAGAGAGAGTAGAGACATGGTGGGCTCAGGAAGTGTAGGAGGAGATAGAAGCAAAGATGCTGTAGGAATGATGGCACTTCATGAAGCACTTAGAAGCGTCTGTCTTAACTCCGACTGGATTTACTCTGTTTTCTGGACCATTCGTCCCCGACCGTACACACACATCTCTCTCTCTGTCTGTTCATCTATCTTTCTCTCTCTATATCTCTGTTTCTTTATCTACTTGTGTTCCTCTTTTTGATTTCAGGAGGGTCCGTGGTGGTAATGGCTGCAAGATTGGTGATGAAAGTGGCAGCTTGTGAGTTCTCTCTTTCTATCTTTCCTCTGCTTTTAGGAGACGAAGAGACAGAAACAGAACAGCTCTGTTTCGACCCAAGATATGTTTTTTTTTCTGATACAATTTGTTCTTTTCTGTGATTTTAATTTGTAAGGATGTTGATGTGGGAAGATGGGTTTTGCGGAGGAGGAGGAAGAAGTGAAGATCTTTGTCGGGAACCAGACATTGAAGGTGAAGATCTTGTCAGAAAAGCTTTCAGCAAGATGTCCATTCAGTTATATAATTATGGAGAAGGGTGGGTAATGGGTAGGTGGTTTATATAAGTAATTACCAAGAAGATAATTAGATTATATAAACACACCTTAAAATCAACTTTTTAATAATTAGCAAAGCTTCTGATTAAGAGTTTATACAAACTAAGTTATTATTATCTTGTGAAATCTTTAATATGGTATCTGCAGATTGATGGGTAAAGTTGCATCAGATAAATGTCACAAGTGGGTATTCAAAGAACCATCTGAATCTGAACCAAATCTTGCTAATTACTGGCAGAGTTCTTTTGATGCTGTACGTCTTCTATCAATCTTCCACGGATCTTTGAATATCTTTTTTTTTTTGTTTGCTGTTAGATGAGGAATTAATGATCTTGATGTTTACCTTACACTTTAGCTTTTTGGTTGTTCACAAATTTATTGCAGCTTCCTCCAGAATGGACCGACCAATTCGAATCAGGCATCCAGGTCAAACATCTTTTTTACCTGTTTTGATTTTTCAAACTTTTGATTATTGTTCTTGATCTTACCTTGACACTGTTTACAAATTTGTTGACCTGACACTGTTTACAAATTTGTTGACCAGACAATTGCTGTGATTCAAGCTGGACATGGTCTGTTACAACTTGGTTCTTGCAAGATTGTGAGTTTTTTTCTCTCTTACGCTTTCATATTAGTGTTTTAGCTGTGTACACTGTGAACAATCATTGTTTCATTCCTCCAGATTCCAGAAGATCTTCATTTTGTGCTGAGGATGAGGCAAATGTTTGAATCAATCGGTTATCGATCCGGTTTTTACCTCTCCCAGCTCTTTGCCTCAAACCGAACCACGGCGACTCCATCTTCTTCCTCGGTTCCAAACCAGCAACCTCAGTCTCAAGCTTATAACTGGGGATCACACTCTCCATTGTTACCTTCCCATAGTTTCCAAAACCAACTACCTGCATCAGCAAGATTTGGTTTCCTTCAAGAAACCAGTGCTCCTCCTCCTCAGATGCTTCCACCAATGGAAGAACACGAGGACGACATCAAATGGCCCAACGGTTTATCTCTGTTCAATGCACTGACTGGCCGTGCAGATGAAGCTAGTAGACTCCTGTTTAACAACGAGCAGAACCCGATGAATCTCGAGAACCAGAACGAGTTCTTGAGCCTTGAAAGTCATCATCATCATCATCCTAACAAGTTTAGAAGAAGCTATACATTGCCAGCAAGAATGGACTCTTCGTCATCATCAACCTCGCTCGATCAGCAGCAACCACTGGAGTTTAGGAACACTTCCGGAAGCAATGCAGGAATGTTCCCTGACGTTATGGAGACGTTCTTGAGGTGATTGACAAGTGCAAGATTCAGGTTTAAAGACAGGAAACTTCTAAAACGATTATGCTAGTTTAATCTGTCACTGTTCCTTCGTTTCTTTCTTACATCTCCTCCTGTCGTTGTTGTTGTAACATATTGTCTGATTGTTTCTGCTTTTACGTTGAACTCTTTTTAACATTTTAAGATTACCTTTTAAGAGCACATTTATTGATTTGTTTTTTTTCAAGTCCTAGAATACAAAGAAAGACATGTTGTTCTCATCTTTAAGACTGGTTTTGCCCTTAACAGTTCCTATCTCACCCACCGTCACATTCTCTTCACTCTCGTCCTCACCGCCTGCAACCTCTGTTGCTTCATCCTCCGTGGCCTCGGCCAAATCGGTGGCTCGTTTCAACCCTTCTTTCGCAGTATCCGCTGCATAGCTGACTGAAACATCTGGAGCTTTAGCATCTGTACTTGTCCCCATCGCCTCTTGTCTCGCCTCGTTCATACTCGCATCTACTCCATCGCTTCCCTGTAGAGAGTTTCTCCGAGTTACAATACAAAAACTGCATCAAAAAAGCATAAGAACAGAACAAACTGTTTATGATTCGTCTCTTACTTGAGCAGCGTAGCGACGAGAGGATTGAAGAGTAATGTTGTTGTCGTGTCTCGGCGATGCTCTGTAAATGTTTATGATTCCTCTCTTAGAAATAAACAAAGCCGCCATTTTTTTGTTACAGACATCACAACACGACCCTGTGTTACATATAATCCCAACACAAGAGACTTGGGATCCAGTTAGTGTCCAGAGGAAAACATAGGTGGCTTTTCAGTTGTTTGCGACGTGTCACATGAGAAAAGTCTGATTCTTTTGCTGTGTTTTGTATGTTGGATCAACAAAAGTTCATAGCTTTACATGTATACCCCAAGTTTCTCTAGCCAAAACCAGTGATCTACACTAAGGAACTAAAAAAGATCCTTATCATTGTTGTTGGACATCTTCAAGCCAAGCAACGACTTCTTCAATCAACGGTCTCCCTCTAGGCTCATGATCAATGCATTTGCAAGCAATCTCCAACATCTCCAAAACCGCTTTCTCGTTAATATTGTCCCTTATCGTTGCATCAATAAGCTCTGCTTCACGCTTCTCTGCCTTCATCTGAAACACACGAGACACCAAGTCTCTGCAACTTTTTCCTTTACAGACTTCCACTGGTCTACGACCCGTAACAAGCTCTAAAAGCACCACACCAAAACTGTAAACATCTCCTCTACACGTCGCAATCAAAGACTGGCTATACTCTGGAGGAATATAACCCAACGTCCCAACCAAATCAGTCGTCACGTGTGTATCGTACGGCCTAAGCAGCCTCGCTAACCCGAAATCCGCAAGATGAGCTTCAAACTTCTCGTCCAACAGAATGTTAGACGACTTCACGTCTCTGTGGATAACATTTGGTTCGCAGACTTTATGCAAGTAAGCAAGCCCTCGCGCTGCGCCTTGAGCTATCTTCAACCTCACATCCCATTTGAGAGTCATGTTCCCGTCTACACGCTCGTGCAGCCAATAGTCCAAGCTCCCGTTCTCCATAAACGAGTAGATAAGCAGCCTATCGTTCCCGTGCTTGCAGTAGCCTTGAAGAGAGACTAGATTCTTGTGTTCCGCTCGCGACAATGCTTCAACCTCCGCATGGAACTCGCGCTCCATCTGCCCGCAGTCGCCGGAAAGCCTCTTGACCGCTGCTTTCGAGCCATCGGGCAGATTCGCTTTGTAGACAAGACCAAACCCGCCGCATCCTATAATGTTCGCCTGGCTGAAGTTGTTTGTTGATTTCAGAAGATCCGCTACGGTCAGGTCTTTGCATCCGCAGCTATGGAAAAGCACGATCTTTGATGATCCTGGAGCTTTAGGAACATCGCTGCTGATCATTTCCTCATCAATGTCATTGATTCGATCATCAGTATCTTTTCTTGAAATTCTCAGTAGAATAACAGAGAGAAGCAGAGTAATCCCAATGGCGAGACTTATGGTTAGTACAACAATGCTGCTTCTCCCGAATTTTCCGCCATTGTTGTTACCACTACGCGAAGAAGCTTTCGGTGTCAGCATGTTACTCATCAGAACATCGCAGGGAGAATCAATCGCGCGACAGAGCCCCAAGTTTCCTTCGAAGCTCGAGTGAGGGAAGCTGTAGAACTGACCTCCGGATGGAATGGCGCCGGCGAGACGGTTATACGCGACGCTGAACCTCGACAAGAAAGTGAGGCTCTGAAACGACGGAGGAATCGAACCGTAGAGATGATTGTAGGACAAATCAAGAAGCTCCAAATTGTCAAGCCCTGAGATGGACTCAGGTATCGTCCCGGTGAAGTTGTTCCTGCTCAAATCCAGCATGTGAAGCTCTTTCAAACGTCCTATCTCCCGCAAGATCGTACCGTTGAGACGGTTATTGTTCAAATAGATAGATGGCGGGAATCTCGAAACTTGGTTATACGGGAGACCACTCGAGCTCTTGTTACGCTTCACGTACAGAGGGATCCCTGAAGAGTCGATCATCTGAGAATCGGTGGAGTTTAGATGGATCAAGCTCTTGAGCTCGGTTATGGCTACGGGGATTTCTCCGGTTAAGGTGTTGTTGGAGAAGTCTATGTAGAAGAGACTCTCCATCTGACCGATCCAACGAGGTATGGTTCCGTAGAAGTGATTCCAAGAAAGATCAAGAACTTGTAGCTTCTTGCAACTCAAGAGCCAGCTCGGAATCCGACCTGTTAGACCGCAGTTTCCGAGCGCTAAGATCCCGAGGTTTTCGAAACCGGTGACATCCTTCGGTATCTCCTCGCGCATAAAGTTCTTTGAGAGGATGAGAGTTGAGAGATTGCTGCATTGCTGCAGCACGCTCATTGCCTCAGACAAATCCACGAAACTGTTGTTGGATAAGGACAGGAACAAGAGAGACTTCAGGTTCTTGAAGGTTTTGGGGATCTTGCCGCTGAACTCGTTTTTCGCCAGACTCAAGATCTTCATCTTGGAGCAATGGCCAAGTGAATCAGGAAGAAGTCCGGAGAAATGATTACTGGCGAGATCAAGGACGCAAAGATCGGGAAATTTAGTGAAGTTAAGATCAACAGAACCGGATAACGAGTTGTTCCTAAGATCAAGAACACGCAGTTTCGAGCATTCAGATAAACTAGTCGGAAACCCGCCGGAAAACTTGTTGGAGCTTACGTCGAGGTGTTCCAGCTGAGTGAGATTACCAAAAACATCCGGAATCACACCGGAGAACCGGTTCTCGGATATCAACAGAGACTTAAGACCATAGAGATTGCTCAGCTTCTCGCTTAACTCTCCGGATAAGTAGTTTCCAGAGACTGATAGTTGCTCTAAGCCCCGAGACGAGTAAAGAGAATCCGGAAGCTGACCTGTGAATCTGTTGATGTCGACATGAAGCCGCTGAATAGATTTGCTGCAGTTGTACAAACCATCAAGGTTCCCAACCAAACGATTCATCGATAAATCAAGAACCTGAATCTCACCAGATGAGCTGCATAGCTCAGGATGAATCTCCCCTTCGAACAAATTGTTGCTTACGTTAAGCATCACAAGACCAGGAAACGCTCCAAGACCGGATAGGTTCCCACTCAGCGAGTTGCTGGAGATGTTCAGAGACTGAATCAGCTTCAAACCGGAAACCGCTTCGGAAACTGACCCTGACAACAAATTATGGCTCAAATCAAGAACTTGAAGCTGCTGCAACTTTGAAACCTCCGCAGGCAATTCGCCTTTGAGCTGGTTATGAGAGAGATCAAGCAATCTCAGCTCACTCAGCTCGCCTAAAGAAGCCGAGATCACACCTTCCAAGCCCTTTCCAGACAGAACCAGCTTTGTAACACGACCAGAGACATCACTCCCCTCGCAAAACACACCATCCCATTGGCAACAACTCGAATCCTTTAACCAAGATTCAGTAACGGACCTGTTCTTCAACGCTCCTGCGAATTCTCTGAGCGCAGATAAGTCGCTGGGATGACATATCAGCGTAGCTTGGCTCAGAGATGAACCAACAAAGAAGACCACCAATAGGAGAATAGTCACCATGACTAATAAACAAAAGACAAGAGTCTTTCTCTAGCCAAGCTTAAACCACAGCATAAGATTTTATGACATTTCCCAGGATTTTTCGAGCTCAGTCTCAAATAGACTTAAGGGTTCCTGAAGAAGAAGAAGAATACTCACAGAGTCACATGCTCATGTCTTAAAAGAATCGAGCTTTTCACAACTTGTGATTGAAGCAAACATTGTGGAAGCAAATTGAGATTAGCAACACGTATCTTCCTGAAATCGAATCCCAAGAAACAGTATGAAATCAAAGCAGAAACTAACAGACAAGACTCAAAGTGTAATTAAAGTGTATAAACTACAATTGCTCACATCCCAACCTCGAAAGTCATGGGATCCTAAACTATTCAAGACTTGTAACTTAAGCAAAGAAAAAAAAAATTGTTTAAGAGAGTGAAGTAATACCGTTAAGCAAGCTGAAGAAGCAATTAGCAATTCTGCCGAAAAAACCCTAAATTACAAAGCTTTCCCAGATAAAGATAAGAGCTTTCGAGTTCACAGCCGCCACTGAGACATTGAATGATCCAGCAAAACTCTTTTTTTTTCTTTGGGGCAAATGATAATTCCGAAGATTTTTGTTTCAAAGGGGTTTTTAATGTGTAATCTTGCAAGTGCAGGTCTTTTTCCGAGGCGAGACAGAAACAATCTACAACAAAAAGCGAAAACAGAGTGGTTGGGGTTTCGAATTGTCAATTTTTAATTTCGAAATTGAAAGAAGGGAAACAGTGGAGAAGACAATAGAGAGAGGTTTTGAGGGAAAACGGAAAAGGAAAGTTCTTTCGTTTTCTTAAAGAACAGTGAGAGTTGCTATTAACTTTTTTTTTCCGTGACAGGTCTCGTCTCGTCTCAAAAGTCTTGTGTGCACCTCCTCAACTTATTATTTATTTACTTTTGTTTGTTTATAAATTAGTAATCGTCAATTATAAAAAAACAAATAGCTACTTAATTGCTGGACAAAATCCTGCAAAACTATTTATTGCAGCTCACAGGTTTTAATATTTTTCTATGAATAACAAACCTCAAAGTTTGACCGTAATTCTATATTCACAAAACAAATTTCACTTATTTTTACATACGTTCAGTAAAAACATACTTAATATAATCATAAGCATATGCAGACAAAGCCGTTGTTGTCTTTTGTTACAAATTAACACTTTTTCCACAAATTAGTGGGAAACAACAATATTATTAGTTGAAACAAAGTCAACAAAAGTTTGTAGTTAGGTCAAAACTTTTCTCACAGGCTTTCGTTTTCTTTCATAATTTGTCGCATTAAGGAAAATAATGGACAAAAGGTATGCTTGTCTTTCTCAATTTCTCTTTTGCATACTGTTGATGTAGATTTTTAAATATTATTATGGATGATTAGAAATCAGGCTTTACTATATATAGATGGTAATCAGATTCTAATATATGATGGGGAAAAACTATATGCAGATAATATTTAGTTGGTGAAGCCTAATGGTATTTCAGCAAAATAATCTATACACCGTATATTTTGATATCTATGTATCATTTGGGATTCATGAATATTTGATAGATAAATTTATCCTCAATTCTTACATCTCTTCTTTGACTGCAAAGACCCAATACACATATATGTGACATAATTAACATAAGAAGATTAAAAATTGTATAATAGATAGTTAGTATTCATAATGTACAATTTAATGATCCAATCAAGTAGTAATTGTATATTTTTATTCACTTTGTTTTTTAAACATTGTATTCACTTGGTTAAACACTGTATAACATAGTTCCGTTCTGATTTAATTATGATTTATCTGATTATGTAATTAGTATTCACATTTGTGTTATTAAATTTTATATAGTACATAGAACAACTTTGGTCAAATAAACAGAAATGAATCTAATATCAAAAGACCGTAAAGTTCAATCATATCACAGTCACACAGCTACACACAAAGAAAAAGGAATAAGACTTCGAACCATATATAGGAAATCAGAAGTTGATATTTTTTTTTTTGTAATCGGACCTCTCGTGAAAGCTGTGAGTTGTGACGCATCTCTTCATGGCTATTTGTGGTGCACGTGGCGGGTGGAGAGTGACGTTCCTCAGAACCGTGTGGGTTCGGTTTGGACTTTCAGGCCGGACGTCACGGGGTCGATGCCGTGAAAGAGGTGGAACCGTTGAGATTTCTGAAAAAAGCCAGATGCACGGGTCCCACGTGACCCTATACATTTTTTTCATTAATTTTGATACAACCATACAATGATTTCAATAGATATATTATGTAGATAATATCATTATTTGGATGAGTGTTGGAGAGGTTCTTGATTAATGAACTTAATTATATTGTGAAGTAAGTTTTACAAAAAAAAAAAATGGTGGGTAGTTCATGGTTAAAACTTTAAAGTACATTTTGAATGTTTTTGTTGTAGAGTTAGAATCCTCCCAAATTGCGATTTCAAAACTTCAATAATTTGTGGCTATTCGTAAATGGCTTTAGTAGCAAGATTTTAAACCCGAATTTTTGAATGAGATTTGAAGGATTATTCTGGATTTTGGATTAACAAAAAAGTAAGTTACACAGAGGTTTCATATAATGGTATTGTGAGTCTAGTGATACAATCGAATCTCTACTAGCAACGTTATATTTTACTTTAAGGAGTGTTCACTTTATATTAATAAAATATAATTATGAGAATTAAGTAATGTTTAGGAGCATCGAAAATGGAGTGATGTCTTTTGATAATGTATTGTATAGTCAACTGCATGCTCACACACCGCAAATCACGTGAAGTCATCGATCGAACCGTACACCTATCGGCCTCCTACTTTGTTTGTTTTTCAAGTCTTCTCTACGATCGAACCTCGAGTCTACCGCACTTCAATCACTATTTATAATTAGGTTGAATTGATTTAATCACCTTCTTTGTCATACTTTTGGTGCACTTAACTAACTAATAACTAATCAACCTATACCTATACCTTTTCTCACATATCTAAGATAGACTAGTTTTGTTATGACTTATAGTACGGCAAAGAGTTTTAGAGAGATATACAATTATATATAATGAATCCATGCATGACGACTCTGAAAGAAACTCGTCTAATTAGAAATATTGTGATACTTATGTTTATGTTGTAGAAGAACACAAGGAACCAAAGGACCCATATTCGGAAAGCGAAGATGACCTAACTTGTCTCGTCTTTTCAACGGGTCAAGATCTTTTCTTGTGTCTGAATTTGGCTGAGTTCCGGAATAATACAAAACAATTGTTGACAGACGAAAAACAAAATCTAACATTATACACACAACAGATTTTGGAAAAGTAAATAAATTTTGTCTTATTTCCTTTTATCAACAAAAAAAAATAATATAAAAATTTGTTTTCTATTTACATCATCATTTATATTAAAAATTATACCATTTTTACTTTAAGGAATCTTTCAGAAAATGAATTCCTATAAGAAAAATTCTACCAATTTTTGTTTGTTAATCAAAAAATTCTAGATATAAGTATGTAGCCTCGCATTAGGGACTAGAGAATGTTAATATTTCGTCACTTCCACAACATCGAGACACGAACCTGAGACCTAAAGGCACACTTTCTTTGAAAAGTTCCTTAATACACTGATAGTGTTTTTCATACTATAGTTTTTGTTTGTTAATTGTGTTCTACTGTTTATAACACATAGATCTAACAATAAGTCAATAACCATGTAATAAACTAAACTGCAGCATATGAAACCAAGATGACTACATCCACAATATGTTTAGAAGTTTCTATCAGAATTCTCACATCGAAGATTAAGTAAAAAATGATGTAATCTATGTAAAGGATATGTGTCATTCTTCTCTTTGTTAATTGACTTTGATATAGAAAGCCACAAACCTTACAAACTTAATACTCTAGAATTCGACTTCATCACATAATTCGTTTTCTTAAGTCTATTGGTTCTTATCAACCATTGAAATAAATGATCCTACCACTGTTCCATGAGAATCGTGGTGGATCAACAGCAACCTGAAATCATAGACGATTCCAACAAAATTGAGGGAGAAATTGGATGGCATGTTATCACATCACTTATCATGACAGTAAATCCAGTAATGGGTCGGTCCATGATCAATATGAAACCACAACGATAAGATGAATTTGGACACCTACTCTAAGCCCAGCCCATAAAAGTCGGTGCAATACCATTAGGAGGAATTAAGAAAGCTTAAAATATAAAGAGTACGTGAAATTGTTTTTTAATCAATTAATCAAATCGTAGATTTTAGCAGAGAAGGGCCCACTAAAAAGATATAAATCAGAGTAGGGCGGCCATCCACTTGGTTTGAAAGAGACTCAAGTGGAATCCAACCATATGATATAGTCTCACAGTACCCATAAAAATCCAAAATAATGTAAAGAGTAAAGACCCTTTTCCAAATTATAATGCTCTTCCCTATATAAATTTTCCAACACTTCATAATCATTCTAAAAAGTAATTATTATTGCATGTGCATGAATATACGAAAAAGAACATACTGTTTTCCCCACATGACACTGATACAACATCACACATTGTCATTCCCCTGCCAATTATTTTGACATTCCGTAAACGATAATATAAGTTATCGTTTTCAATACAAAATTGTGCTATTAACAAAAAAAAAAACTTGTGATCTTCCTCCCAAAACTTGTGAGCTCACTATAATTTCAATGATCGTGTGAATACATGAAAACGCTATGAAAGAGTTGTCACTAGATTCTAAAAGAAATTGGCCACCGTCAGAACTCAGGACACTATCACTCCAGCCGAGCTTAAAGCTCGTGTGTGGTGTGTCCATATGTGTGATTTAAAAAGAAAAATGATATGAAAAATTTAAATTATTGGTTGGAGAAGGATACTAAAATTTAATGGAGTGGGGCCAATGAAAGCATCATTATTAGACGAGAAGAAAAAGACAGGATTGTTAGAGAAATGTCAAAAAAGCACAGTAACAAGTAACCAAAAAGCCCAATCAATTCTCTACTTTCATTAAAGCTTAGTTTCTAGGTGGTAATGTGTGTGTGGGAGAGATTGTGAGAAAGAGAGAGATAAGAAGAAGAAGATAAGTGAGAGAGAGGGAGAGAAATGAAGTTCTTGTTCCAATGTCCATGTTGCTCTTGCTTCTGCTTCATGAAACCAAAGCAGGGCAAACCAAAGGCTGTAGATTCAAAACCAAAGGAAGAGAAGAAGAAAGAGGAGAAGAAGGTAGAGGAGAAGAAGAAAGAAGAGAAGAAAGAAGAAAAGAAAGAAGAGGTGAAAGAAACGAAAACCGAGTGAAAGCTCTACTTTAAAAAAGTGTAATTAACTATCCCATTTTTATTTTAATCTCTATGAGATATGATGATTATGAATGCTTAAGTAACTTGTAATTTTTCTGGTTTAGTGACCTTCTCTGCCAGTATGGTGTAATATCCTATTATTATATCAATGTTTGTTTGAATTTGCTCTTCTGAAATTGCCAAAGACTATAATTATTTCTTCTACCTACGTATAATTGTCCTTTTAAAAAAAATCCCAGTTATGATGAGATTTTGAGGGTTAAACGTTTATGTGATTTGTATTCGGGTTGTTATTCCCATTTTTGATTTGGGATGTGATTCTTTTTTATTGAACAATAATGTTTAGATTTCAAGAAAAAAAAACATGTATATGATCCAAATAAAAAATGCATCTAGTAGCTTGTTTTGATCTATAGCCTATAGGTAACTAAGGCAATAATTCATTTTGTATCTTATTGATAGAAGTTACTGAGTAGTGGACAACTTTTTATTTTTTATTTCTAGACATCACTGTAGTCTAAATATTTAGATTTCAACGAAATATTATAAAGTCTTACCTGAGCTAAACACCGCTAATTCAGAATCATAAATAACAGTCATGGTATTGGAAAGCGATACATTTATTTGTTTCCTTATGTAATTTTGTACACTTTATGAGTAAATCAATTACCTAAAATGATGGTTTTTTTTTTTTTTTTTTTTACTTTTTATAGTATAAAATTTGCTTAAAATACCAAAAAAGAAAGAAGCTAAGACACGAATACTGTAAAAAAAAATTGATTACCAATGTGATTTTTCTACTGTATCCCTTTGGCCTCAAAGATGTTCACCTCCTTCACCAATGTTGTTTAGTTGAATTGGTGGAGTTAGCCATATATAGAAATCGGTTGAAAATGTATTACGTATATGGCACTAACACCAAGTTTGACAAAAAAAAAACAATAATGCACTGACGACACCAATAGAGTTTTAGTACTAAAGTAGTGACCATTTTTGATGAACATACTAAAAAAAAACGGCCCAATCCCCAACTTCCTCATATCTTCATTGTGAAAAAATGTAAAAAGTTATTGGGCCTTTCATGTGTACCTTAACGTAGGCTTTTCAAATTGCATACTTAAACCTTTTTTTATGATAAAAATGACTCCAAGATAATCAATATTAATGTTATCAGAATAGAGTCTGATTCGGATTTTTCATTGTCAACTTATATATATATCAAATAATCGTATTATACATCATCACTAATCCGGAACCAGAATCATACTAAACATAATCACTAATCAGGGAATATAATAAATTTGTATCATCTCTAAGTTGAAATTAGAACTAAATACGGAAATAACAACCAGTTTTCTCAATTTTGTTTGTCACTAATTTAAAATCTTCAATCAAAATACAGAATTAATAATTAAGTTGGAAAAAATGGACCATTAAATTACTTTTTATGGTAAGTGAGTTAAATACGTGAGTCAAATTCTGACACGCCATTAACATAAATGCCTTTGAACTTTGAAGTAACGTTCAAAATCCTTATTACATTACCAAAAACAAATTTCCCTTTGGTAAAAGAAGAAAGAAAGTAATGTGCTCTCTCTCACGGTGTTAACACCAATCTTCGTTTTCCATTTCTGTAAAATTCAGAGAATTTCATCGACTATCCTTAAACTCCAAAATTTTCTATATATTCGTTACATAGCTTTATTCTTCTCCCTACAAATCACAAATCACAAATCACAAACGCACAAAACCCTACCCTCTCACATAAGATCCACTACTTCTCAGATCTTCGATCTCGCCGCTTCTCGGCGACCATGAAAAGTCTCAGTGTTTCTTTCATCACCCTCGCTTCCTTTGTAGCTCTCTTCGCCGTCGCTGATGCATGGAGGTTTAAGGTCGGAGGTGACGGCGTTTGGGACGTGAATCCACGGGAGAGTTACAATACTTGGGCTGAAAGAAACCGTTTCCAAGTCAATGATACTCTCTGTAAGTTTTTCTTTTTTCTTTTGCTGGACGTTTTAGAGTTTGAGTTTTTATTGATGGGGCTGTGTGGCAAATAAAGCTTTTAATCAAACTTTTTTTTTGCAGATTTTAAGTATGCAAAGGGATTAGACTCGGTGCTTCAAGTGACGAAAGCACATTTTTACGGCTGCAACATTAGTAAGCCTCTCCGGAGATTTGTCGATGGAGAGGCTGAGGTTACTCTTTTCCGACCTGGTGGTTTTTATTTCATCAGTGGTAATCAAGATCACTGTTTAAAAGGACAGAAGTTGACCGTCGTTGTCCTCTCCATAAGGCATGCCCCTCCAGTTCCCATTTCTCCGGCAAAAACTCCGTCAACGGTCGAAGCTCCAAAATCTCATTCCCCTGTTTCTACCGTTGCACCGGCGAAAGCTCCGTCAACGTCTCAGTCGCCTAAATCTCACTCTCCTGCTTCTGCAGTTGCACCGTCGAAAGCTCCGTCAACGTTCCAACCACCTCAATCTCACTCCCCTGCTTCTCCAGTTGCACCGGCGAATGCTCCGTCAATGGCCCACTCACCTAAATCTCACTCCCCTGTTTCTCCTGTTGCACCGGGAAATGCTCCGTCTACGGCTCATACGCCTGAATCTCACTCCCCTGTTTCTCCAACTGCTCCAGCAAAAGCTCCGTCTACAACCCAAGCGCCTAAATCACCTACCCCTGTTTCACCCATTGCTCCGGCGAACTCTCCGTCGACTGCCCACTCTCCTAAATCACCCACCCCTGTTTCAACCAATTCTCCGGCCCAATCTCCGAAATCCTCGGTTTCTACAACCCACCCTCCTCAATCTCACGCACCGTCTGTGTCTCCGTCACATGCTCCAACAATTTCTCCGGCGACTCCTACTCTGCCACCAAAGTCTCCATCGCCTGCCTCATCCCCGTCAAAGTCTCCAACGTCTTCGCCGTCGCCTGATCAGACACCGGATTCCCCAGCGCCTGAGCAGAGCCCACCTTTGTATCCACCTCCATCTGATTCAACTCCGACCGCCAATACCATCAAGGCTCCGGCGCCGGCACCAAAGACCAATGATGCAGCAGGTGGTGTGGCCGTTACTTCGGTTATGACTACAGTATTAACTGTGGCTTTTACCGTTTTAATGTTCGCTTAAGCTTAAACAAAATGGTTTTTCGTTCGATTTACATTTTCTTTATTCTGTTGCTTTGTCTTATTCGAGTCGCTTCTGCCATGTGTTTATTCGAGTCGTTGCTTTGCGTTATTGGACTATATTTATATTTTATTATTTATATTATCGTGTTCTTCCAAATGAAATAAAAGTCCAATTTGGTACCAAATTTATCATTCGACTCTTATTTCATTGGAGTACTATATATATAATAACAAACTGAAAAAATGCCAATTATATTTTGAAAAATTATGTTCTTTTAAAATTTATGATTGTATCTTTTCATTATAAATAGTTATATATTTTCACAATAAATTATTGTATTTTTTCATCAATTATAATTTGTGTCTTTTCAAATATATTTATATTGCTCAAAACCACAAGAAAGATTATTTGGATTTAACTTTTACTTTTTTACCATAGTGAGTTTTTTTTTGTCGTAAACTTGTTTATTTATCATAACATATTATCAATATACAAATTGTTTAAAAAACTTGGAAGTTCAGATATTAAATTTGAGTAAAAGATTTTATTTGGGGGTCCAATTTTAGCTAAATGTGAACAGTTTTATTACAAAATTGTTTTACATTCATTACATCAGAAAAATAAAATCTTCAACCAAAATCTAATGATATTTTTATTATAAAGAAACTATAAGTGTTTTACTTACTGATATATATTATGTTATTTAATTTTTTGTTAACAATCCAAATAAATACCATTTACACTTTAAAAAGTTGTGTCGTTTCAAAATTTGTGGTTGTGTCTTTTCATTATGAATGGTTGCATTTTTTCATTATAAATGATTGCGTTTTTTTATTACAACTGCTATTTATGTCTTTTCAAAACTATTTAAATTGCTCAAAATTACAGAATAAAATTGTTTGGGTCTAACTTTTACTTTTTTACTATGGTGAGTTTTTTTTGTCGTAAACAATCCGAATAAATGCTACTTATACTTTAAATAATTGTGTCATTTCAAAATTTGTGGTTGTGTCTTTTTATTATAAATGATTGCATCTTTTCATTATAAATGGTTGCGTTTTTTCATCAGACTATTATTTGTGTTTTTTTCAAAATTACTTATATTGCTCAAAACCACAGAAAAAAATTATTTGGATCTAATTTTTACTTTTTTACTATAGTGGGCTTTTTTGTCGTAAACTTATTTATTTATTTATCATGACATATTATCGGTATACAAAGTGTTTAAAAATCCTGGAGGTTCAGATATTTAATTTGAGTAAAAAATTCTATTTGGGAGTCTAATTGTGGCTAAAATATGATAAATTTCATTACAAGATTTTTTTATATGTATTATATCAGAAAAATAAAATTTATTCAACCAAAATCTAATGATATTTTTATTATAAAGGAATTATATGTATTTTGTTTACTAATATATTATGTTATTTAAATATTTTTGTTAACATCTATATATTTGTAGTTAATTGTGTTATTTTCAAGTTTTAATATTCTTTGTTAGTTGTTTATAAATTTAAAGTATCTAATATTTCGATTCTTTTTTCTAATTTCATAGAAATATATTTATGTATAACAAATTTATATATATTTTATATATGTATTTTTAAGGTATTAAAGTTTTTTTATATATTTTAAATAATATATTTGTAATATACCTTTTTAATATTGCGAATATTTTTAGAAATTGTGGTAGTCTTAGAAAATGTATTATAAAATCTCATTACATCATTTTATTATGTATATTTCCTGTAGTATTTTTTTAAAAAAAATATCAAAGTTTTATCATAATTCTTTGTTTCTAGCTTTTTAATACTAAATATATAGTTTTATAAACTATTTTTTGAAAGATTGCCTTATTTATTTTTTACTTCACTTTTATGCGAATATAATTTTTCAATAATTATACAAATAGAAGATCGCATATTTATATGATATATCTATATTGTATATTTTCATATATAAATTTTTAAAACACTTAAAAAGTTGTGTATTTTATTACTTTTCAGTTTTTTTATTTGTTCTATTAATAATTAGTAATAACAATCATATGAAAATTTATATATATTTATCATAATTAGTTTGTACATTTCTATTTAGAACTTATTGTTAATAATTAAAAAAAATTGAAAAATAATTTTTTTATTTTAATAATTATAAGTTGTTTTGAATGGTTGCATTTTTATTATATATATTTTACTTATAATTATTTTAAATAAATTTCTGTTAATTTTTAATATACCGTATATTGATCCCGCGAAGCGGGATCCTGTTCCTAGTTTGGTTAATACAGCTCAGAATTATAAATGATAGCAATTAAGTACTAATTCAAATATCTCAAAATTTAAATGGACTTCCGTCACTAATTGCTGGTCAAGATGATAGTTATGTTAACAATGACACATTCAATCTAAATTCCGTGTGTCGTTTTGGAAACGTCCGTAATTATCTTCTGATTATGATGACTATAAATATTTATGGGAGATCAGATATGTGTTTATGTCGAGAACGTTCTCAAGTCTCAAATATGAATTATTTCTATCGTTTTGTTGCGGATTCTATAATTATAATATCGCGTCGACCGATATTGAGTACTAAACTTAATGAAATGTTTTATAATGTTATATTGCAACTTTTAATATTATTAGATACAATTCGTTGGACTTCATTTCCATTGAACTTGGTTTAGTTTCGTGGAATTTTTTTTCTTCTGACTAATGATACTACTCCTGTCTTCCCATTTATTCACAGTTGATCCTTATTTTTTCCCCTAAAAGTTTCACAAACCAACTGCAAATGTTTACAAGTCAAGGCCTAATAAATGGTATATACGAAATTTCCATTAGTGGTATAAAAATACAAAATGATAACGAGGAAAAGTATGTTGTAGTGAAGGATTTGGACGGACCATAATGCATGTTTACACGCCTTAATAATCATATAACGCACAGATTAAATTATACCTAACAAAAGCTCCACGTAAGGTCAACATCCAAGTTCCTTAAAATAATAATTTCATACATGCTATTCAATTGTACATATGAGAAAGTCTTTTCTTTTCCGATTATTGAGTTGTGATATCGATTAATATACAAGCAAATCTTAGCTTGTTTTCCACACAGATAAGAATAAGGCACGAGATAAATAATCTATTCAGGACTTTTAATTAATTAGAAACGAGTTTGATATTATACTTATCGAGTAATCAATAATGATACGTGTACAATCCATTTGTCAAAAACTGGTTCATACTTATAGAGTTGTTGTCATACACAGTACACATTAATTCAAGGGATAATATAGGCAAGATCTTTAGTAATACCACAAAATGAAAACAGAACGTGGAATGTGAAGGAGACACGAGGATTCAAAGAGACTGATTGATTGGAAAAGCATGAGAGACAGATCATCGTGACACGGAAAAGAACCGCTGTACACGTGGTAATACGCGATGAACCGGTCAAGTGTCTTTCAAAAAACAACAACTCTTTTTCTTTTCTTTTAAAATAAAGTTGACGCTGGTTTTAAATGTATAATACATATCACAAAACATATTTTCATCACAAACTCGATTGTAATTCCAATTATCTAGATTCGTTCCGACACACTGTGATGTTTAAAAGAACCACCACTTCCTTTGCCGGTTTCCCTGTGTCAGAAACAGAGAAATCATAAGTTAATACAAAAGAAGGAAGATCAAAACTAGTCATTATAATGTTTAGGTTTATGGAGTTAATCATTGATTATATAACATATTAGTTGATTAGAGAATGGTAATGATCTAATTGATGATGATAACTAGTCGTTAAATTTGGTGCATGAAGACTCAAACATGTGATCCTAAGTTCTGTTTTCAGGGAAAGAGCTTCTTCTATGATCTCATTTGGAACCTTAATTTAGTGTCAACTAATTCAACTGCTACCTTTTGATTTTGCTTGTGCGGCTTTAACAAGATGGACTGCGGAAGAACAGACATGCTTGAGTCTTTGATAAAGGGTCTCACTTTCTCCTCCAACATTTCCTCCACCTACAAAATCATAGAGATGAACAAACTTTATGTTTTCGGAATTATGAATGAATATGATATCGAATTGTGTCAAAATGTTCATTTTGATTAACCTTCTCTTGACGCCATTTAGCTTCCCATTGTGCATCCAAGATTTTGTCTGCGATTTCTCTTTGAGCATTGAGAAGAACTGTCTTCTCGTACAGCTTCGCCGGGTTCTTGAGATCCTCTTCACTCCAAGAGGAAGTATTCAATGGAAGATTAAGATCCTGTACATCTTCATCTCTTAGTTCTGAACTAATGCCTCCGGTCTAAGGAACACGAATAACAAAAACTATGTATGATGCTAAAACCAAAAAGAAGAAAGAGAAAGAGAGAGCTTACACCAAAATTCTGAGGACGAGGAGGTGGATTAAGCTTTGTGACTTCAGCCTCCAGTGCTTTCTTAGCCTTGTAAAAAGGAACATTCTTCACTATGACGGGGTCTTCTCGAGCACGGACAGGATCAATGGAGATTAAGGCCTGTAAAGCCATGAGAACTAAACGGTGAACTCTAAGTCTCTTCAGTGAACATATCCCCTAGATTGGTGTCAAAAAAGGCGATCTTACATCTTGTAAATATTCCCAGCCTGGGTTTCGCTTAGCCACCAAGTCTCGAAGTTGATCATATCGCATAGATTCCTGAACACAAAAGATGTAAATACCTAACCATCATTGAAGCTTAGAGATGAGTTATTCAACAAATTCAGTAGCTGCCCTTTTGGCTTACTGTTGCTCAGAAAGAAAATTCTATATGATGCAGAGCCCTGAGCACATCAGTATTCTACAAGTCTCTAAATTTCCTAGCAACATACCTATCTAGATATGGAACAGGTTCTATATTGGTGTAGCAATACCATCTCAAATGAGGATTAATAAAGATTCAACTTTTAGCTACGAGTAAGCCTCTAGAAGACCATAACCTTCAAATGACAGTAAACTCTAAAGTAGAAGACTGGTGAATAAGTCTTGCTGAAGGAGATCCGATGTAGGAAAAAGAGAGGTACTAACCTCGTATTGCAACCATATTTTCCTCTTGACATCTTCATCATAATCAAACCCACCCACAATCTGAGGCATAGTGATCAACCAGAAATTTGCGATGCTGGGATCTTTCATGCTGTGAACAATGTGCTGAAACAGAAAACAAGACTCATAAGTCATAAGACTGTAAGAAACATAGCAAGTTATTGGATCTATAGCTAGAATCGCTGTGGTGCTCACCTCGTAGGGATAATCCATCTTCCTCAGCACATTGTAGGCTTTCCATGGAGGTTCCATGATCTGCAAAATGAAATGCCAAATCCATTCGTTAGTTTACATATTTAACAAGATCTAAGTTCTACGCCAAATAGGATGCTGCCTCTCTTTGGCCATTAAAGACCTTCTAAGTAGTAAATATACATCCCACTGGGAATTTATGTATATGTTAAGCTGAGAAGAAGTTGTAGCAGACGCAAAACATACATCGTCAGCTGAGATCCTGACTTGCAGCTTGTTCTTGCACTCACAACAGCTCATCACACCCTGCAATATCAGTAGATGTTCCATCAAATTATATAAGCCTATCTCGTTCTTCCTTAACACACAGACAAGCACCTACTTACATGGGCATGAGATTAGCAGTACTTAGACAATTTGAGAGACATATAACCCAAATCCGTATATCAACTACTAAAGTGAAAATACATTAACAGTAGCCTAGAGCATTACTGCATTAGCAGCGAGAGAAGAAAGCTTACTGTTCCATCGCAAGTTGGACAGTCTTTTGATGGCAATAGTGCACTAAGGTTGATGGAGGAGGGAAGATGAACCAGCTCAGCTCGATTGTCAACTATGGCATCTGCGATACAATCTGCTGTTGGTTTCTCTCCACTACAAGAAAAGACAGGAAGGAGAAATCATTAACTTCTTTCTTTCTTGTATGTTAGAATATCACCTAGATAGCTTATAAAGCATTGCCAAATGAATTTTTCAACGTAAACAAACAGAGAACACAAAGAGATTAACTGTGGATTGATTCATTCTCATGAAGCCATCAAATTAGAAACATGGGTTAAAAAAGAGACGATCCCCACCTTCTCAAGTTGTAATCTTTGATCTGGTAATGAACACTCCCTGTTCCTTTGCACATGGTGCACCGTAATGCCTGCCACCCATTACATGTTTTGCAATCCCTGACCAACAGAAAGATGTGTTCATATATCACTCTGGATGATTGACAAAACTATGAATCAAAGCTTAGTGAAGTTCAAATCTTGAAAACTGACCTTTGGCATATGACTTTCTTTCCCAAATCCAAGGCAATGTCATAAGTGCCAAGCGTGGCAACCGCCTACAACCCATGAAACTTGAATGATGAAAGATGCCCCATATCCCACTTAAGGGCAATAACACAGACAATTTGACAATTTAACAAAACTTTGATTGAAAAAAATTCGAACTTGATAGAAATTCAACTCACTGTAGGCATAAAGCTCAAAACTTTAAGCAAACAAATGGAAACAAAAATGTAAAGTGACAAGTGAAGGAGAAAGAAGAGAGAACTCACGAAAACAGAGAGATAGGAGATTTTGGAGATGAATTCAGGGATGCCAAAACCGCGAGGTGCAGAGCCAGCGATGTCGAAGGCGAGAGTGATAGGAGACAAGACAAGCTTGATTGGGAAATCGAGAATCTCTATGACTTGTTGTCCGTAACGAGTGGAGAAGTGTTTGAACTGAGCATCAGCGAACTGTTTCACGTTCTGCACCAAACGACCTGGTCCTCTCGACATTGGAGGAGGAAGAAGATAAGAAAGAGAGCCTTCTTTCTCCCACTCTCTCTGGTCTGGGTGGGTTCAAGAGACTCAAGAGTGGGTTTTACACTATTCTTATCCCGAATTTGGATTAGACTCTTTTTATTCTTCGCTAACAAACATGTTTCCTTTTTATAGAGTGCGTGTCGTTTTCAGTGAGAAAAAACGACCTGACTCCAAGTTTCGATCGCCTTGTTACTTGGCTATGGGCCGGAATCCGGATATAAGAGTCGATAAACCCATTAGGCAGATCCTTGGTATTTAGTTATAAAATTTAACTGAATTTAGAGGAATTAATCTTTCTATTATAGTGTTTTTCATGATTTAAAAAATAAAATAAAATACATGTGTTATTTTAAATGCGTAAGAAGTTGCATGTGCTGAACAAAATTTCTTTTGTTGACCTTGAAAGATCCGTTTCGAGGTAACTAATACTTGATGATCTTAATAATATCCGAGGCCCACCAAGTTCTTGTCAAATGACTCAATATACACCAAACACAAAAACTCAATAAAAAAGAAATCCAATTCGAACAGCCATGCTTGATACTCTTGGATGAACGGTTGCACTTTCTCCTCCAACATTTCCTCCACCTACAGATCATAAAGATGAACATAAGGTATGCCTCGGAATTAATAATGGAAACGACACCAAATTGTGTCAAAATGTTCCTTTTGATTCACTTTCTCTTGACGCCATTTAGCTTCCCATTTGTGCATATCCAAGATCTTGTCTGCGATTTCTCTTTGAGCATTGAGAAGAACTGTTTCGTACAGCTGCCGAGTTTTTGGGATCCTTCACAGTCCAAGAGGAAGTATTCAATGGGAGATTAAGTGATCCTAGTAGTTCTGAACTATATGCCCTTGGACTCAGTAACACGAATAACAAAAAAAACTTTGACGCTAAAATCAAAAAGAAGAAAGAGAGAGCTTACCCGCATTACAAGTTTTGCAAACCTAGAACAACAGAAAAATGTGTTCATTTACCTCTGGATGATTTTGACAAAATAAGAACCTAATTAAACTTAATGAGGATGAGATAATGTGTAAGAGTTCTGCCATCTAAGAAAAACTTCTCTGAACCTAGAATAAAGCATCAATAACTAGGACAGACTTCAAATCTTGAAAATTGACCTTTGGAATATGACTTTTTTTCCCCAAATCCAATGTAATACCATAAGTGCCAAGAAACTTGAATGATGAAAAGTGACCATAAACCACATAATAAGTCCAATAAAACATATAATTTGACAATTTAACAAAACCTTGATTAAAAATCTGACAAAATAGCTTCTTTCTCCGAAACTGAATCTGAAACTCAGGTCAATTTCTATATTTAATTTGTAATTGAATTATAACTTTCCGTCTCGTTTCCGGTCGCTCGGCTTATTTATTGATTCTCTTACAAACTTTATTGTCGCAACAGAAAATGTTGTCTGAGGCTACAGCTACACTAACTCCACGCCTTGCTCAAGGTTTGAATGACTTTTACTCTTGTCTGCTTGTGGTAGCTCATAGTCATACATGTTAATGTTTTCGCTTGACTCAGCATGAAGCAGACAGCTGCTTCTCCTATCCAGTTGGAAGATGTGATTCCTCCACAAGCTTCTTTTAAAAAGAAGAAGAAGAAGAAGAAGAAGAAGAAGCTCGTCGTCCTCAAGCGCAAAGCCAAACAAGGAGGCCTTGTCCCCTCTTTCTTATATATTAGTTCCCATGTTCTTTAAGCAGTAACTTTCAAAAACTTGTATTGACTTCTGACTCCAAATTAGTCTGAGCATCTTAATATCTGGCGTTGTATATATCTGCCGCATGTTTCTTGTAATACAAGTTAAAATAATGAAAACAAAGAAAGTAGGTTATGCCGCATGCTTCTCGTGGGTTGTCAATTTGTTCTCGGAAATATGGTTGTCGAGTTTTAGGAAATGTTTGCGAAAACTTGGTTCCACGCTAAAACTTGTCCAACTTGAGCAATATTATCTACTCCACTACTTTAGTAGAAATGGATTCAGTCAAGTGTTAGAACGAACACAAATGGGCTCAGAAAATGAAATGATACCTAAAATGAAATTTATAAGTTATAACTCCTCCAAAAATTCATTTTTCATGTTAATTATCTACTCTTTTTTTTTTTTAATTTATAGAGATAGATCTTTTAAAAATGTTATGTATTTTTTATTTGTTAATGATGATAAATTATAATATTTTTTAAAATATTGAATTACTATTGATTTAAATTTATAGGAAATTGTTAATCATAAAAAATAATGTATATATGATTAAATTTTAATATATGTTTTTAACATGTAAAAGTTCCAAAATATCTTTTTTTTTAAAAAAAAATATAGAGGAAATAGTACTTTATAACAGTGATATGCTTTGTCTATTTTATTGGATAAAATCAGGCAAGTGAAAATATCCCCAATTGTTACGGAGCAAGCGAAATCACAGTTTACAACTGGAAGCCATTACATTCTTCGACGATGTCAAAGCTCTATTTTGTGAGTTTTTCTTCCTTGTTTTTTTTTTCTTTCACAAAAAGTATTTGAAAAACCCTACACCATATGGGATTTAGTTTCTTTCTGATTCACAGTCTTGTTAGTTTGATAATCGACATTGCTTTCTCACACCCACACTCTTGTTAGTTTAATAGTTTTATTGGATGTTGATATATTTTAAATTATGTAAGTTGAGGTATTCTCGACAAATTGGATACACAATAGCATAATGCACTTTCAAACCAACCTACGAAGAATAATTAATGTTAAAATATTTGCACAAAGAAGGTACAATTATCGCTGAGTTTGTGAAAAATATTCATGAATGCATCTATGTTTTGAGGTAAATCTCACCACTAGTGAAACCATTAGACACCCACAAGGCAATCTCACCACAAACTGATAATATCAATATATCATATGAATATAATTGCTTAATCATGTGATCGTGGAGATTGGGGAGCGCAATGATTTAAAAATAGATCGTAATTAATCTAGCTTTGTCCGTCTGTTTTTAGTCTGTTGGAATCGTTTGGTCTAAACTTTTTTCTAGCTTTAGGAAAGAGTTAACATGAATAATGTCACAATATCAGTAGCATTTACATACAAGACAAACCTGAATCAACATCACATATCTCTAGTTCCACAAGATCGATGTTCAAACCTGAATCAACAGCACATATCTCTAGTTCCACAAGATCGATGTCCAAGGAGGGGTGGAATAAAAAACTGAGCAAACCTCATCACAGTGATGTTATATACCTATCTAGAGTAAGTTTAAGGAAATCTGGCTAAATTTGGAAATGAAAGATAGTTTAGTCCATGTGTATTTACGCATTTGAGTCGTCTCCATAGTCCCTCAAGTGAGTGTTGAACTAGAAGAGGCAAAATTTAAATTAAAGATCTAACGAGAGAAATTAAAATTAAGAAAAACAAATTAGAAAACAAAAGGTTTGAGAAAACAAGAAATTGAACAAATTAAGGAACCATGCTATATAAAGTGACATATGTCAATAATATTACTATAAACGAAAATTTCTCAACAATAGCAAGCGAATTTAATTGATTCAACCAATTTCCAAAGATCTTATATATATAGAAAGAGAATATTCATTATTCTATAGATAATTGGTCATATCACATTATAGTTAAGCAATTGTATTCTGAATAGCTATCAAAAGAAATTATAGTTAAACAATTGTATGCTCTAATTAAAGCATAATAAGAAGATATTTAGTTGAAATCATACTTAAAAAATGAGCCAATCATGAAATTTTGGGAGGGTCATAGATGCAAGTTTGCAGCTGCAAGGCTAGCTGATTCTTCTTCTTCACAGATTATATCTTGCACAAGCAAAGCACACAGTCCATTGTGTAGCTCTATTGCTTTGTACTCAAATGCACCATCATCAGGATGTAAAATCTTTGCCATTTCCTAGGAAAAGAGAGAACCAAACCAAACAAAAATAATATTATGTTATGAGCAAGTTGTTGCTGATTGTTATGAGTAAGCTCTATGTTGTTGCTGATTATTAAACTAACAAGAGTGGGTGAGAGAGAGAGAAAGAAATATCAATTATTAGATGGATAGAAACTAAAACCCACAGTGAGACAAGTCATGGTTTAGGGTTGTGAAACTAGAAAGAAAGTGGAGAAAACCCCACAGAGCAAGATTTTGAGAATTATTGAAAATAGCTTATAGTTCTAGTTGTATACTGTGAATCAGCTTGTTTCCTGACAATTGGCGATATCAAGAAAATTATAGTCTCTCCAATTTCGTCGATAAAAAAGACTACGAGTGTCATTGTGATAATAAGAACATCTCTATTGGTTAGAATAGTATCTAATTAAATATTAAACTTTAACATTTGAAATGATTTAAAAGGCTTTAAATTTTAATGAGTTTTTAGATGATTTGGTTGAATTATGAAAATTCTTATCACTAATTCAACCAAATCATAAGAATTTTCATAATTCAACCAAATCATCTAAAAACTCATTAAAATTTTCACTAATTCTAAATTCTTAATTCATTTGAATTCTAAATTCTTATGATTGAATCCAAATCTCATGATTTTAGGTGGAATGATCATGCTGAAGGAGATCGATGTATGTAAAAGAGAGGTAGTAACCTCGTATTGCAACCATATTTTTCCTCTTAGACATCTTCATCATAATCAAACCCACTCAGAAATTTGCGATGCTGTGAACAGAAAATAGGACTCATAAGGCGTGGTAAACACTCCCTATCTCGTTCATCCTTAAGTTGTTATCTTTGATCTGGTAATGAACACTCCCTTCCTTTGCACATGGTGCACCGCAATGCCTGCCACCCATTACAAGTCTTGCAATCCCTGACCAACAGAAAGATGTGTTCCTTTACACATGGTGCACGTGATTAATCCAAATGTTCCACAGTATAAATAGACACACAGCTTTGGTAAGTGAAACTGCTAGTTCATTCTCATAAGCTGTGGTTGGGAGACAACGAGCTCGTCATTGTAGTATCCGTGACCTTATCATGTCCATGAGAGTTATCTGCGATATGTCTGATACGAAGAAACATCAAGATCCAAAGCTTTAACTTGGTATTGAGGAACTTG